TTTTACTAATTAATAAATTATAAAAAATAAAGGTTGAAGTCAACGATTTTAACTAGTAACTTCTTTTTAGTTGAAGTAGGATATTTGAGTTTGAACTTAAGGAATGAGATGGTTAATTTTTATTATATAATTTAAAATAAAAAATAAAAAATTAATTTAATTTGATTAATTAATTAATTAAAATGATATATATAACGTTAATAATAAAATTAATATCAATTTTTTTTTTATTTTTATATAATTTAATAATAAAAAAACACAATAATTATACTCTTACACTCTACTACTAAAGCGCATTAGTTTAAAAATTCCTTAATTATATTAGTAGTAGTGGGTGTTGAATAGAGTCCCTCAATATCCATAAAGAATTACAGTATTTAACATTTTCTCCGAAGAAGGGCACTTTGAGGACATTTCAGGTTTAGCAATAACCCCTGGCTATTTAAATCAAAGATATTTGACCAATACTTGATTCTCCATTTTATTCCTTGTATAGATCTCGCCGTCTGAAATGGAGTTCTCTGCTACTAACGCAGCTCATGCCGTCTTAGTTTCCTCTCCCGGTCATCTTCTACCCATCCTTGAGCTTGGGAAACTCCTCGTTACTTCCCACAACGTCGGTGTAACCATCTTGGTAGTCTCCAACCACCTAACAGCAACCGGGGAATCTCTAATAGTTCAATCTGCCATAGCTTCAAACCTTTACAACGTTATCCATCTTCCGCCAGTTGACACCAGTAACCGGACGTCTGGGCCCGGAATCACACATATTGTCTTGGCCGTGCGTGAGATCAAACCAGCTCTGCGCTCTGCTTTGTCTGCTCTCGAATCTCCTCCGACGGCTCTCATCCTTCACCATCTAGCCTTCGATTGTTTTGAGATTGCTGATGAATTTGAGATACCCAAGTTTGTCTATGTCTCCCCAAACGCATGGTTCCTAGCACTACTTTCCTACACACCAGTCCTGGACAAAATTGTTGAAGGAAACTTTGTGGATCATAAAGAAAATCTAGTTATCCCGGGTTGCAGATCGGTTCGACCAAAAGAAGTACCGACACCATTAGGTTACCGAAAGTCTAGTGACTATGCAGAGTTCCTTCACGTGGCACTGGAGATTCCAAAGGCTGATGGGATTTTGGTCAATACATGGGAGGAGCTTCAGCCGAGAACGCTGGCAGCTCTGAGAGATGAAAAGCTCTTAGGCGGTATTGTTAAGGCGGCAATTTATCCTATCGGTCCAATTTACCGAGCACCATCCAAAGAGTTGTCAAGTGAGTTATCCGAATGGCTGGGGAAGCAGCCCAAAGAATCTGTGGTTTATGTATCGTTTGGAAACAAAGGGGGAATCTCGGTTGAACAGATAGTAGAGCTAGCTTGGGGGCTGGAACTAAGCCAACAACGGTTCATATGGGTTGTACGTCCACCGGTACAGAAAACCGGAATTGGGGTCCATGCCAAGATTGGAAACAACGATGTTAGTTTCTTGCCTCAAGGATTCATGGATCGAACCCGAGAGGTGGGATTGTTGATTCCACAATGGGCTCCGCAGGTAGAAATCTTGAACAACCCTTCGGTGGGGGCTTTTTTCTCGCATTGTGGCTGGAACTCCACCGTTGAGTGCATCTGCTGTGGGCTGCCTATGATTGCTTGGCCTCTGTTTGCGGAGCAGAAAATGAACGCCACACTGCTAACGGAGGAGTTGGGGATAGCTGTTCGATCGGAGATACTACCGACGGAGGGAATTGTGGGTAGGGAGGAGATAAAGAGGATAATAAGACGAGTAACAGTGGACGAGGAAGGAGGTGGTATGAGAGAAAGGGCGAAGGCCCTGAAACTTGCCGCGGCGAAAGCTCACAAAGAAGGTGGTTCTTCTTACAACGCAGTGGCTCAACTCGCCAAGAAACTCTGCATCTCTGATTCTTCGTGTTAAAAA